AGGAAAAAGGAAACATGGTGTTCCAATGAAGAGCGGGGGGGGGGGGGGGGGGGGGGGCGGTCAAGCTACGCTCTATTGGTGGTATTCATTTTCCCGACGTTGCTGCCGTGCTACCCACGTGCCTCTGCTGTTTTCGGCGGATGGACGTAGTTTCGTGAACAAGACTGTTCTGCGTTTGGAGGGGAGAGTTTGCGTGTACACTGGCATTTTCTTGTCCTTCGCTCTGGTAACTCCGCCGATTACGTCCCGTCCGACACGTTGTCTGCGATCGCAGGGGGGCTTTGATGACCAAGGAGGCGCCAGCTCTCTCAAGATGGCGGTGGTTTCGAGGGAGTACGAGGCCCTTGTCGCGAGGCAGCTGCAGGAGCAGCAAAGGTGATCGAATGAGTTTGCGTGCATCCTCGATCGGACCTGACGTTTAGGACGCGTTGTTTCTTCTTCACTTTCTTCATTTTCGTTCTGTTTCACGTTTGTTTGGTCTCGGCGGAGGTTGCTTTCCCTTCCCTTCTGGTCTTGGTCCCACGGAAATAGACCGCTGTTGACAGTGGTTGCGCCGCCCTCTTCAACAAAGAAGGGTATGTCGTCGGAGACAAGACAAAGCTGACGTTTGAATGTGAACCGGGAGAACTAGACCTACGATGGTCGTACCGCCGTCAAGGTCGGTTCGTTCGAATCTCTTGGCTCGGTTTCTGGGGTCCCGGAGGGGTGGGTCTCACACATGGATGTTCTGGTAATGTTGGCATAAGAGGCTGCTTTGTGGCAACCACCCGTGACGACGTCGAAGCGGTCGAAGTGGTCGAAGCCGTCAGGTTGGAAGAGGGAGGAGAGTTTCGACCCGACCAGGGAGGAGAGTTTCGACCAGCAGTGGTATGGACTCCTTTTTTTGAGTGACTGTCGAAGGGACACGAAGGCCGCGCCTTTGACAGGACGTTGCAAGGTTTATGAAACGACGTCAGGACTAGCTGAATTGGTTGAAGACACAGGAGCAACGAAAACGTTGGGAGCTTGTTTATCGTGACGCCCTTTCGAGCCTCGGCTTGTAACACCGGCGCGGCATCGTGAAAGGTACTGCTGCTGTCGTCGTCGCTCCCTTCGGAAAAAAGGTACTTCGAGGATCTCATCGCCACTGCAGTGGCCGTCGACGCTGAGGCGAACGCGCCCGTGGAAGAGGTTCTCACGGACGAGGAACGGGCCGAGGTGGGCAAACTGAGGCAGGCGATAGACGAGTTGTCCGGCAAGTACGAGGGGATTCTGGACAGCCTCAGGACTGACGAGGTGCGTCGCTGCTCCGCGTGTTGCTTTTGTTGTTGTTGTAGTCGTTGTTGTTTTTGTTGTTCTGCCGTTACTGGTGGTGGTGGTGGTGGTGGTGGTGGTGGTGGTGCTGCTGCTGCTGCTGCTGTTGTTGTTGTTGTGTCAGGCTTGGCATTGGTGATGTTGGTGCATGTGTCGTGTCTCGAGTTAACACCTGAGAGAACGCCGAGTGTGAGCCTTATCACCATGGGTCAGGGAGAACGAGCCATGTAACTACAATAGCATCTCAAGCCGTGTTGTCATACGCCGATGCCCCACCAGGAAACGGCCCGTAGGGTTCGGTCGGAGAACCGCGGCCTGGTCTCGGAGCAGCGCAGCCAGAAGCGGGAGGAGGGCCGCTTGGCCGAGGAGGCCAGGCAGACAAGGCGGCAGTGCGAGCAGCAGATGTCGGAGCTAGAAGGGCAGATGCAAGACTTACTCTTCTTCCTGAAGACACAGGAGAAGGTCAGTCTGTTAGGCGGACCGTTGAAGGTTCTTGTTTTTTTGTTGTCGGAGAATGGCGCGCGCTTGTACGGAAAGGCGTTGTTATTCTGTTGTGTGCCTCGCGTCTTGGCGTTTCGTGACGCTCGTTCAGAACGAGTTTGTGCTTCAAACATGTTTGCGGAGGAACTCTTGCTTTCGAGCTTTCATGAACAGCAACGACGTTGGCTTTCAGCTGTTTGGCCCTTCCAACTGACTCCTTTTTTAGTTGTTGTTTCTCGGCCTATTGGGAGTCACCGTCTGTGGTCACAGGAATTAATTTCTCGTCAATTTTTGGTGTTGATATCTACGGCCATCGAGATAAGTTTACGTAGGCAATATTGGGGTTTTGTTCGGGGGTCAGCCTCAGCAACCACATTTCCAAGGCAACGGCGACAGCGGCATACCACTAACAGAGCATGAAGACAACCAACATTTACAACAACGACCTGAAGTCTAAACAACACCAGCACAATCACCGACAGGATAGCATCTTGTTCGCACGTTTTCGCAGGTAAAATCCAGCCCCCGTCGCCAGGAAATAGTAGGGGGTTCCGTGGTGATGGAAGAAGGTTCGGCCGGGGCGGCCGGTGGTGGGAACGGGAGGGGAGGCGCGAAGGAGACGGAACGGGAGAGGCTCGCTCGCAGGCTCAAGGAACGGAGTCACTCGAGGAGGGCAGGGAGCGGGGGGGCGAAGCCAAACCGTTGACATTCATCAGCACAATGCGCGACATGGAGTGCTACACGGGAGTGGCCGTAGCCACCATGGAGAAGCAGATCATGCAAACTATCCGACGGAGGTTGCGTTAGAATTAGGAGCAAAGTGGGTGCTGGGGCCGCATTAAAGGGTGGCGGTGGTGAAGAGCGAGGTAGGGTCTTAATTATATCTTTTGTGCCATAGCAAGCAGCGGATGGTGCTGTCCTACCTTTCAAGGTCAGGCAGAAGGGGGATTACCTGTAGACTGCTGTGCTACTGCGTTACCCTAGCAACGCACGAGATGGGCGATAGGGTTGCTGTGGACAGGGCAAAGGCGGGGATGGGGGGTTGTCGACCCAAGCGTTCAGATACCATTGCTAAAGTCTAGCAGCCTGAAGATTTGCCGTGGTGGCCTTTCGCTGGCTTGCAGTGGAGGTGCTCTGTCCCGATCCGGAGACTGGTGGCAATGCGAGGGCCACAGTACCGATGCAGTAGGGACCCTGATGTGGGACGAGGAACATGGATGGGGTCGGCAACTTGGTGGCAAAGAGCGTCTAATTGATTACTATCCTGCAGAGCACATGGGAAGTGCAAGTTTCGCTCCGCATCCCGCGCATGACGGCTTGGCGCCAGGATGAATGGGAGCGCGTGGGGCGGGCTGTGATGCTCGCTAATTTCTCCATGTATGTATGTGTGCCTCTGGAAGCGGGGAAGCAGCGTGGATGTACCCTGCGAATGCTTTTTCGCCCAGGGTCAGGGGTACACCGCCGTACCAAGGGGGAAAACTCTCGATGGCCTGCTCCTCGTGTTACCAGACGATGTCTTGCATTCCAAAAGTAGGCATTCCATCCGCACATTGATGCAGTCAACTCTCTCTCCGACATGCGACAAGAAGCACCGGCGACAGCAGTTACGGTTAACGTGGGGGGTAGGGGAGTTTCGTGCGCCTCACTGGACGAGAGACAATCACACAATGCCCCAAGCGAGTGGACCGGTATATGGCCTGGAGTACTGTACAACGGTTTGGGTGGGGCAAGGCGTCTCGAGGGGGAGTACGCACTTGCTGAGTGGTCGAACAGTTTGTCCTCTTGTGCAATAGAGCTAAGTGTCTACGGGCGAAGAGAGGGGCACACCAGTGTGTCGACGAAGCAAATAACGAATTTCCTCGAGGGGGGACAACACATTGCCTGCGCGTGAACCGCCTTCGAGTACATGCGAGTCTACCCGCGCTGTGACCGCACACTGCACCGCGCCCGAAACCCCGTGAAGTGCCTTCGAGCGAAGCGAGTGACGACGCCAATCGCATTCACTTCCAACCGATTACATCAACAACACACCAAACGAGTCTGTCTCATGATTTGTTGTTGGGTGGGAGCAACCTACCGTGTGCCATGTGCCGAGTGTGTTCAGGCGACGGCCAAAAATTTCTCATCCATGGGAGATCGGCGAAATTTCGAGATAGGCGGGTGACGGGTTGATGGGTGATGTCGCTTGTCAACCACGACACCAAACCAACACACACACAACTGATGATCTAAAATGTGTACAGTACGGGCCCGCAATAAAGAAAAATTCTTTTAAGAAAAATAGGCTCAAATTTTAGGAAAAATATGAAAAAAAGGGCTGAGAAACACAGCTCAATCTCGACCACAGCACAAGACACGTCCCAATAAGAAACATGATGGTGCGATACCCCCAAGATATAAGACACAATACAAGGGTAGCTGGAGGAGCGTGCCCACTAAAAAACGTCCCACTGCTGCTCTTTCCGTGTTCCCACCCCCCTACCTAGCTGCCCCCCCCCCCGGTGTTTGCCATTGGGGTTGGATTTTCGTCGCTTGGCAACGACGTTGTAAAACATGCCGCCCCTCCCGGTGTTTGCCATCGGGGTTGGGTTTTCGTCGCTTGGCAACGACGTTGTAAAACAAGCCCCCCCCTCGGTGTTTACCATCGGGATTGGGTTTTCGTCGCTTGGCAACGACGTTGTAAAACAAGCCAATTCACTTCGTGAACTCGGCAACCAGGTTAACGCTTTTTTTTTTTACCTCTGGTTTGTTTTTGGCGGTAACCATAATGGTGGTCGAGTAGATCATGTTGTGCGGGGTGGAGAACCCTCGCTCCGCGCAAGGGGGATGATCGCACCACGTTGTGTTAAAATGGTCAAGCATCCTCGAGGCAGTTTCACAGTGCTTACAACTGTCTCTGGAAGTGAAAGCACCGGAAAATAAATTAAGTCATACGCAGCGGTCATCCGTACGCAAGGAAGTACGCACAAGATGCCGAACACCCTTAGCAGGATGCAGCTCACCCTTCATGCGACTCGCCGAATACCTCAGGGCGCTTCGCGCTTGGTGATGTGAGAGGCTGGTCCGGTGAGAACCCGGCGTGCTCCGTCCCGGCTTTGTAGGGATGCGAGGTCAATGGTCTAACGACTACGGCATGCACGACTATGAGTATGAGTACACCCCCCCCTACCTAGCTGCACGGTGCATTTTTTTGGTAGCGGGGAGAGAGAGTGGTTATTTCGCACACCATCAATGGCCACACCGAGCTTTATTTCTGGTTAAGCGGCATGATGATCGTTTGTTGTTGTGTTGTATTCAATAAATACGAAATAAGAGGATTGGGAGGATGCGGCGTTCCAAAGGAATATGAAATGCCTTCAAAGAAAACGGATGACTTCGGCTGGTCCGTGCACCCAAAATAAGGGATGGAGGCTCGACCCGAATTTGACGTTTCTTATCTGCGGGCCTATACTGCTGTTTTCATCGGAGATGAACTTCGGCCACGTATTTGGCTAATTCGACTGTCTCTCGGTTCTCCGGTCACTCACTGTCGAAAATCGAAGAAATCGAATCCCCGTTCATTGTTGATGTGGATGGTACGCTTTGAAGCGTCGGGCAATTGTGGACGCAAAACTTCGCGCGTTTTCCCGTCAATTCCGCCAAGATATGCGTAGAACTTCCAACAGGGAGATGCGTTCGTATCCACAGCAGCAGCTGGCTGTGTGGTCTACAGCAGTCTGGAAAGAGATGGTACTGAACAGTGTTCAGTGAACAGGTTGGCACTCGTCGTGCGTATTCCATGAGATGCAATTTCCAATAGGGAGATGAACCCTACTACTGTAAAAAAGCAGTGGCTGTGGTCCATAGCAGTCTGGAAGAAGGATACACCACATTGTGCAAACGCCAGCTTTCTTGTTGTGCAGCCTTTTCATACTGTGTGAAAGGTGAAAGGTGGAAAAAGGATATGCACCCCGGGGGACGAATGCACGCCATGCACCCACACCCTTCACAGGCAAAAATACAAATATGCCACGGAAAAAACAAGGACAACCGTCTCAGCAAGTCTCAGCCGATTCCTACATGTAACACTACTTGCAGGCATGCAAAGCACGCAACCACTTACAGGACCGCTTTTTTTAGGTGAGGCTCGACGCTTATTGGTTGACTCAAACCAAGCCCATGTTCATATCTCAAGTTCTTCTGTAGCGCATAGGATGAACGGGGTTCTTGTTCTTATAGTACTGTAGTTCTACGCCGAACGCCCCATGCAGAACACACGAGCACACAGGTCTTTCTGGGTGGATTTCAACGCGACACTGAGAGTACAACAGCGTGGTCAACACCAGCCTCACCAGTAAACTTCAGTTCAGACCTGATGGACCCAAAATTATTGGAACAAACTTGACCCACGGATCATCCTGGCGGCGAGGATCGGGACAAGCCGATATTGCTGTGAAACGGCACGGCTAAAAACCCCACCGGCGGGGTAATTTCTTCATCACCCCACCGGTGGGACGGTTAACGCGTAAACACCCCACCACCTGTAGCTCGCTCTACAAGACTCCAATCAGCACCGGACTTCGACGAATGTGTTTCGGGCCTTGCGGGGCGATCATTGGACCCATCGTGAGGCCGAAACGGCACCGTTTTGGTGGTGTCACGGTTGGTGGGGAACATGCGCCGCTACCCCACTGGTGGGGTAGATAACGTTATGAACCCCACCAGTTGGATCTCCCTCTAATGCCGCACTTCCGTATGAAGAGGTTTCGACAGGACAGCTTGAGCTCCAAAGACTTGGTAGTGCGGGCCAAATTCATTTCGGCCGCATGTTGGCGGTGTTAACGGTTCCACGCCAGGGTTTTCGCCCCCGCTTTTTCTCTCAACTACCTTCCCAGCCTCCATGAGATAAAGTCCTGGAAGAGTGGGAGTCAAATCATAGCCAAATCATCAGATGTGACCAGTTTAGTCCATGACTGACCAACAGTTTTGTCAAGCTTGTCTTTGGTGATGATATCCTCTAGCTTCATAAGGTTATCAATCAGAGCCAACCCTGTTGGTAGCTGTGCATGTCGGGGCAGACATTGCTCAGTGGTGCGTCCTGTCGATGCTTGCACTGATTTGAAGAACACCAGTGCTTGACATGCTACAAAGGCTGATTCTCTAACGAAGACGTTGTTCGTGATCCCGAGTCCCCCTTCACGTATGGGCAGGTGTATCTGCGCCCTAGCTGTCCCTTTGAAGTAGTCCACCTCGCTCTTCGTCGGGTATGCGCATGCTTCTCTGCAGTCGGTATTCCCACATTGTCGGCCATCTTGTCGAGGACGATCTTACCCATTGCCCACATTATCATGTTGTCATGGCTTCTTGAAGCAGAGTTAATGATCGAAGGTGCAATCGTTCTCAGTAGGTGGAACATACGTGGCACACCAGATAAACGTAGCAGGTGATAGCTGGCTTGAGAGTCGTCGAGCGTTGCTAAGCGGAGTATCAACTCCGCAGGGTCACCACGGGCGAAGTTGGGTACGAAATTCCTCTGGACATCTTCTGTCGCTACTGGGACTCCGACGACTGGCATGCCACCTTCAGCGACTGAGCTCACTGCCTTTTTGGGAGAGACGTACCTGATTCCAATTCGTTGCAGTGGCAATGGCCTGCATGTTCCTAGCCAAACCTGGTGGGAAATGCGCTTGAAGGTCGTCGACGTATCCGATGAGTTTGACTCCTGGCACTGGCGGCTTGTTGTGAGCTCTTTCATGATATCAAGGAGTCCTACGCAGAACCAAACCCAGCCTTGTTCAACTCCACGCTGTGAGAGAACAACTTTGATCGACCCATCTTCCATTTTGAACAGAAATTTCGCCTTGGTTCGAGCGTAGATGTTCCCGAAGTATTTCACCAAGTGTGGGTGTGAGTGGCCACTGCTGGTAGGATAGAAGATCGGCGCATGCTGTTGTAAAAGTTTTCCCCATCAAAATATAGAATGGTGCTGCCTTGCTGGTGACTGAGGGCTGCTGCTGTGGAAGCCACCATTTCTACTCTTCCTGGAACGCCACCTCCAGACTGGTTTGCTGCTTCAAAGATGTTGGCAATCCCCTTGCTTGTACTGGCGGCAGAATCAGCCACTGATGATGCGACGTAGAACTCTTCCAACTGCAATTGGTCGTTTTTTCTCTCCCAACGCTGAAAGGTTGGCACTGGCGTGGAGGTTCCAAAAGAAGTCCAGCAGCTCGTCGCCGTAATAGAACGCTTTGAAGCTGAAGTCGGCCAAGGTTTCAGAGGAACAATCGCTCATGCCACCAGCTTGAAGATATGCAAACCGTACACCATCAGACCCTGGAGCACTCTGTGGATTGGCCTTGTTTACTGCCTGTTTGTTAAACTTGATTTCGAACGGTTCGTCAGCTTCGGCGATGGAGTCAATCTTGTGCGCTCCTTCAGTATCTTCCGCAGTTTTGATGCTAGAATCCCACGCACAATATCTTCGTTAGGGTGTCGGTTGCGAAGATGCTCCAGCGTGGCGCTGTTGCGCGGTGAAGGTGCTGGGGAGATTTAGGCACTGGCAGCTTTAGTGATGCCTCTTCTTTCATGCACCAGTCTTGTAGCTCTTCTTTGGCATTGTCTTCAATATCCGCATAGTACTGAAGTCGACGATTCTTCTCATCCTGCATGAGCCAGGCAATAGGCTCACGCAGGTCACCGTTTTCGAAGCGGTTATGCGGGATACCCTGTTCATCCTTCTATCAGTCGATCCGTTGCTTGGACAAGTTGGAGCTGTCGTTCAACGCGTGCTGAGTATATACCTATCCGCTGCAAGAGGAGACAGATCGCAGGTATCCGACTCCTACTGGTCGATGTGTACAGCTCCAAATGCTTGCACGAAGAGGATGAGGACATGTTGGAAGTGTATGTAAAATATTTTCGCCAACTGCGGATCGACGTGTTTGACTGTAGGAAAAATGGACGTTTCAAGAGTATCTTGTCGAACCCGATCCAGGGCACTGCTGGCATCGTTGAGGTCCCACGGCAATAGGAGATGCCGCCTGTCGTCATCTTCCTCTTGCGATGGTTGCAACGACCTGCAGAGCGATGGAGACGATGTAATACCTGATTAGCAACAATGCTTGGTGGGTGTGGAGACACAGGGTCGCCGCATGTGCCAGATGCGGCGTAATTAGGTGCTTGGCTGCTTGAGCGTAAGGATTCAGGAGGAGACAAACTGAGAAGTAGCTCCTTTCCTCGACCTTTATGCTCACGATGTTGAGCGCGGGTTGGGTGGGCGCGTCCCCGCAACACGTGGATGATGACGCCATGACGCCATGACGGCGATGACGGCGATGACGGCGTCGCAAAAAATTGCCGTTACAAGAAATGCGGCGGAATAACAGCCATTTTTGAAACGGAGGGCGGCCGTTTGCTTGCCCAGCGCCCACCTGCGCTCTCACTCCAAAGCGCGCTCCCCTCGCTCAAGATGGCCGGGGCTTCCTCCCTGCAGGATGACATCCTGGCGTTGGTGAAGAAGCACAGCGACACGTGCCTTCCAGAGGATTTGCTCGCTCGGGTGTCGGAGGATGCCAGGCTCCTGGCGGCCAAGATGAAAATCAGGTGTGTGGGGGGAGAAAGGTGTGGGGGGAGAAAGGGATGAGTGACAGAAGATGGATGGCGCGCTTCGGTGCCACCTCCCTACCTGCCTACCTGCCTTCATGAGGACGACATGTCTACAGTCAGCAGCTCATAGAGAACAAAGCAGTGCGTGATGGTCCTCTATGCCGGCGGGGGGGTCGTTAGTATCCGAGCCGGTTTGCTTTTCTCCCCCTGCTGCGTGTTACAGCAACAGCAGCAGCAGCGTTCAGCCCGGACTTGCGGAGCAGCGGACCACAACGGTCAGCGTGTCAGAGTACAATGCAGAGACAGAGTTATTCCGACCGAGTGCACGCACCGTATTCAACTGCCTGTACGTGCGGGTCGCACTCTCCCTCTCCCTCTCTCCCCCTTCTTGTTTTCCCGCTGCCGCGCGCTCGCGGTTCCGTTCGATGTGACGGTATATAGTACCGGTACCCACACACCGTTACACACTACGGTTGTTGTGCGTTTTCTCGAGACAGGCTTGACGCTGCTGAACCGTAGGTGACATACGACCTCACACACACCCTGGACTGATCTTCAAGGCTCGATTATTCCACAGCAGAGGAGGGCAGCAGTGCCGTAAATCGGGGGGCACTGGAACCGTCTCATCGGGAGCCCCCCGTTTAACTGCCGTCACGGAGTAGCTGATCTTCGAAAACCGGTACAGGGGGTATGGTATCTTGCGTCACGTGCGGTAGGCTGCAGCACGTTCTCAATCCTCTCACTGCCGAACCACGCAACGACGCAGAGCAGGGCTGGCAATGGCGGCGGGAGAGCGGCAGCCATGGCAGGAATAAAAACAACCCCCCGCAAACTCACGCTCACACAAGGTCTCACAGCGCTCTTGCCGGCACGAAACAGCAGTTGAAATTGGACGTCACATCCGGACATGGTCACCTCTGTTGTCCTCCCTACGGAAATATCGAAACGTCCAATATTCGAAGCGTATATATATATTTTTTTCAACGCAATTGATCCTACAGCAGAAGCGAACCCCCGATGGCTTGCTTCTCCATAGGAAAACCCGCTGTTCTTGTTTGGGCTCCACAAGGAATGTAGCAACATCAGTGTCCCCTGGGTCCCAGGCTACCGCAGCAGTTACATGTAGACTAAATCCTCGCCAAGTGCTGGCTCCTTCAGCCCACTCACGAGGTTGTCAGATAGACACAGATTTCGGTCGGGTAGCCAAATCTCCTGTGTTTTTTAAACGCACGGAGGCAGACGCATACGATGATGCTGATGACGACGATGATGCTGATGCTGATGCTGATGCTGCTGCTGCTGCTGCTGCTGCTGACGATATTGGTGATGATGACAACGACGATGATGATCATGATGTTGAGTCATGACGATCGTGATGATGGTGATGATGCAGGTCTCTTCACGAGGAAGACCCGTTTGGACTCTTTTCGGACGGCCGCGACGAGGAGGGAGCGGAGAACGGCGGCGGCGGCGAGGGGGCGAGGAAGGTTCCCTCCACCGATGAGCTGCCGGACAACGTCCTGCGCATGCTCGAGGGCATGAAGATAAACCGCCTGGACAAGGTAGGCGTTGTGGCAACGAGGGCGGTATTGCAGATATAGAAAAAATGAGGCCTCCCCCTCCTGCTGGGTGCCGTACTTCGGCCCATCCTCGACTGACGATGCATTTTTTCAAGCATACGTATCTGCGCACGTGATGTCTTTTGGCGCCGATGTGCCTGTCAGACGAGTAGGCTTTAATGTTGTGCTGTACAGTAGTTTCCTGCGCTGCAACAGCGAGGGCGTTACTCTCTGGAGGTATCGACGTATCGCCGTTGGTTTTGTGCCGCGGTGATGAGCACGGTGTACGGGGAGTGCGAACTGCTGTGTGGTAGACAACAGGGCTTGAAAAGCTACGCACTTGTAAGCGAGACCATTTCCAGCGCCTCTTTTTTTGCTAGGCGATCGTTCTGTTGCCAGTGTTTTCGTCATCTTTGTCCTGGTGTGGTCTGGTAAATGATGAGGGGTGGGGGGCCGGGGTATGATGTTCAATGTACGACAAGAAAGGATGGAAGGTCAGGCTATCAAAGTGGAACCGGTCCCAGGTCCCAGTGGTTTGTGTCCATCTCCTGTTTTGATAACCCTCAAGTTTGGATAGGTGCCACCCGCTGCCCCCACGCCCACTATAGCAATACGCGTGTTCTATGGTCCCACCAGTCGAGTATCAAGGGCGAGAAGGTGCCTGACTCGTCCAATCTTGTTCCACGTTCCCAGGTAGCTGCTTTAAACGGTTTCACGACGATAGACGCTGAGGTGGAGTTCTCGCGAACCGGCACAGATTCCACCGCTACTGCCGCGGCCAGCGCGGGCACCGATGGCCCTGCCCTCACGTCTGCTGCTGCAACACGAGGCAAGCCGACGCTGTCCGAGGGAACGGTGGCCGCGGCAGCGCGGGCGGCGGCTGCGGCGGGAGGGAAAGCGACAACAGGCGAAGAAGATAAAGGAACCTCTTCGGACGAGGACGATGACGACGACCATGACGATGATGCAGAATCACCCGTGTTCCTCACCTTCCGCTTCCGGAGAGAGCCTCTGCGGAGCGGCCCCGCCGAACCCTCGCGCGGGGAGGGGGGACGCGCTGTGGGCGGTGGCGACGCCCGCGACCACGACCACCAAGAGGCGGGGGAGGTGATCGACCTGGCGCTCGACGACGACGAGGACGACGACGAAGAAGAAGAACCTTCGGCGGTGATATCGACGACCCCGAAGGGCGACAACGAAGGCGGTTCTTTGTTCGAGAAGAAGGGTTCGGCGACAGCCGTCCCCGCCAAGATCGCCGCCGGCAAAGACGTCTCCTGCGACGGCGGCGGCGGCGGCGGCGGTGATAGCCACGGCAAGGAGGGGCGGAAGAGGGCCGGGTCGAGGGGCCGGGAGAGCGAGGAGGGCCGGGGCGGCAACGACAAGGGTAGGAAGCGACCCAAAGGCGGCGAGGAGGAGGAGGTGGGTGAGGAGGAGGATGAGGGTGCCGATGACGAGGAGGGAGGGAAGCAGGGGGTGAACGGAGACGCGAAGCAGTGCGAAGAGGACGACGAGGTGAGGCGTTGTTGCCGTCCCGTCCTATTTTTTTCCCGTGTCCTTCTGATGTTAGGCCGCCCTCCCTTGTCGCGGCCGTGTTTTTTTCCGGGCGAAACTCACCGCTTGCCCGCTTGCCCGCTTGCCCGCTTGCCCCTCCTCATTCCTCCGCGTGGAAAGAGAATATCGGCACCTCCAGGCGGAAAGTGGCCTGAGCCGCGGCGGGTCGGCCTCGCGGTTTTCTCCTGCCTCCCCGCGTCGCACATGCATGTGCCCCCCTCCCCCCCTTTCCTCGTCGTCTCGCTGTTAAATACGGGGCCCGCCCCCT